CGCTTGTTTATTCACGACCATGTGAAATCGAAATATATCCCTCTATATCGGACGGACATTGAAATTGGCCGGCTATCGACACGGGCAGACAGAATAATTCGCGAGGGAAGATAGATACGAAAAGAGGTATCGGCAATCGAGCGGCAGTCTCGTTCCATCAGGGTTGATTAATGGATGGCGGTTAATCTGGACCTGGCAATCGATAAAATTTATTCCCGCAGGGTTTATTCTGGGCACTCGGATGTATATGGCTAATCTATCGACCGATTAAAATGCCGCACATGAAAGGAGAATCGTACACAGACTACAACACCTCGTACGTCTATGTGTACACCGATTACCTGCCGGTTGAATTTTTCTGCAACGGGATAATCAGCGCGTGCCTGACCTTTGTTAACGTTATGTGCATCTTTATCACGGCGATCATTGTGTTGAAGGTGAGCAACGATCGCGAAACAAGCGAATTCTCAAGGGTAAACCGCGAGATATCATCCTTCCCCGCGTGATGTAATTTTCGCGTGTAATTTCTGATATCGCGATAACGTTATCGTGTAACGTAATAATGCTAGAGCAACATCGACGATGTAGATGTGCTGATGAATTTACTAAATAGAAATTTTTTTCACTGCTCGTAAGAAATTATTAACGATCTTTATAAAAAGAGACACGACACGCTAAAATTAGATTCAGTTTTATCAAGAATATTCATAATAATATACGACGAAATATCATTTCTAGTCTGTCGAGACTGTGATAAATGGTAATATTTAGAAACAAAGACGATAAAAAGAAACACAGAATTTCTAAAATTAGACCGGTGGTTTCCGATTTAGATTAAAGAAGTGGCTGCACCGTACACATCAACACCGGAACTACGTCGCTTTTGGGAACACGATATTCGCTTGGTGCGTGATAGGAATATTTCACGAGATAACAGCTCCCTGGATTCGAGGTAACTGAAACTAAAATATTTCACGTTGCAATAGCTATAAAATTCTTGGGCGAAAATGAAAGAAAATCAAGGCAATCAAGGGGAACGTAAATTAAAACTTCTGAAACTTCTTTCCCGTTTTAAAAACGTACGATACGCAATTTATGTTACCCAATGCCTTATGACGTGAGTAAGATAATTTTTAAAAAACATTATTACCAGCTTCTACGACGGGCTAAGCAAGACAAAACAACGAGTGCTGGAACGAACGTTGAACGAGGCGGTGCGTGAAGCTGTAGATGATGAGACATTCCGTAAGGTGCAAAGATCGAGTTACGGCCAACGCGGTCCAGAGGAGGTACATAGTTAAAAAAAAGAAAAAAAAAAAAAAAAA